ACACACACACACACATCCTTCTTTCACTCTAACAGACCTACCACCCTTCCCACCCTCCCAGCTGTTACAACTCCACCAATCACATCTGCCCCACCCCTCTCCACCCCCTCCCCCCTCTACCAATCAGCCCCATCACCAATCTATCACCCTTCCTCTCCCTCCACCAATCATCCCCCCAACACCTCAGACAACGAAGCAATCAACAAGCGATGTGTGGCGTAGTTCATCACTGCCTGGTCCAAAACGCAAATGTTATGGGCATTGCCCGATTCATTCAAAGTTGTGGGTTCCATTGTCCAAAACATCATAAGTTGTTGTGGATACCAAATTGCCCAAAACACAAAGGTTGTGGGTACGACCTTGTCCAAAACACCAAAGTTCTGGGTTCGATTCCGAGATGGCTCTCCCTCATTTCGTCTCATCTTGTCCCGAAAAGTAGGTGAATATATTTGAGAGACTTGGAATAATTAGGATGTTGTCAAACTTGTGAAAACGACAGAATAGGACCAAATGGTGAGACTGGATTGTCGTTGTCAATTTCAGGAAAGAGAGAGAGGTTAAGTTCTTCACCGTCGCACGTAGGAGACTTGAGTTCGATCCTGGTGAGGTGATGTTTTAATCCAGTGTCTGTCTGTTTTCTTTGACAGCGTATCCTTCCTTCCTCCCCCCCTCATGTCCGTCCTCACTGGCTGGAGTTTCTTGAGGCAGGTCGGTACAATAAAGGCTATAATATAGCGATATCTTTGAAAAGAAGCTGAAGAATTGAAGAACACCTTTGTTGTTTTTGTTGTTTGGAGAGCCCAGTTGTTTTAATAGAGACAAAGGAATCACAAAGTTGACAAAGACACTCTCAGATATGCTCAAAAAGTTGTATGGGACACTGATTTTGGAAAGGGGAATGGGGCAGATTTAATGAAAAAGGGTCCCTTTATTCAACAGGTTGACATTGAAATGTTTCAGTCGAATTTGTGGACATTTTAGTAATTCGTATTCAGTTTCAATTTTAGTAAACGTTTTACGGCACTTGCAAAGACTTTATCATTACGGTCATAACATAAGTGCCGAAGATTTGAAGACGTGATACTAGAGAGTAACGTCAAAAGAAAAGAAGGAAGAGAGTTAAGGACGATAGATGTTTGACAGAAAAGAAGGAGGAGAGTTAAGGACGATAGATGTTTGACAGAAAAGAAGGAGGAGAGATAAGGACGGTAGATGTTTGACAGAAAAGAAGGAGGAGAGATAAGGACGATAGATGTTGGATAGGAAAGGAGGAAAGATAAGAACGATAGATGTTTGATAGGAAAGAATGGGAAAAGATAAGGACGACAGAGGTTTGATAGGAAAGAAGGAAAAGAGATAGGGACGATAGAGGTTGGATAGGAAAGAAGGAGCAAACCACACGAAAGCACCTGCCAACCACCCACTAACTTATGTTTAACACACGTAGTATTTGAAGATGAAGTTTACCAAGAGGTAAGAAACAGCTTAATAAATACTATACTTAATAAAAACTATACTTAATGAATAAATAAGGAAATGTTGATCACCCAAACACAAAATATGGTTGTAAAGAAAAAACTTCTTCTTCTTCTTCTCCTTCTCCTTCTCCCTCTCCTTCTCCTTCTCCTTCTTCCGTCTTCTTCTTCCCTGAGTGATGAGCCGCCCCGTAGTCCTCCTCTTTCTCCCGTCCGTCCATCAGTATTCGCCCTCCTCCTCCTCCTCCTCCACCTCCTCCTCCTCCTCCTCCTCCCCCATCTCTCTATCCCCTCCCGTCTGTCCATCAGTATTCGTCCTGTTCATCCTCCTCATCGTCATCATCGTCCCTCCCCTCCACTCCCACCTCCTCGTAGTCCTTCTCCAGAGCCGCCAGATCCTCCCTGGCCTCCGAGAACTCTCCCTCCTCCATACCCTCACCCACGTACCTGGGGAAGGGAGGTATACACAGGTATATGTTTGTGACCATGTAACGATATGTAATATAATGTGTGTGTAACATGCTGCAACGATGTATATATATATATATGTAT